GTTCTCGAACTCCCACTGCACGGATGTGGGGAATGATTAAAGATTTAACCGTGTTTTGGCCTCACTTTTTATCGTAATATTTAGACTTTAATATTACAAAAAATACCAGAGATATGGATAACAATGTAATGGTAAACTTTGTTCGTGCTAACGGTATACACCAGCGGGACACCAGTGAGAGATAATAAGTGGCGATGAAAAAACAGGTCAGTTAGTCCATCGTGATGAATACGCCTAGAATTCAGCACGATGGTTTCCAGGGGAGACCACGTGGAGGTCAACCTGGTTAGGTATATTGCTAGCAATTGGGCCCTTAATCTCCGTGACTAATAATCCCTTCCCCCTATATGAGAGAGACAGATTATATGCGAGTGTCCTACATAGCTCTGTCCAGACGAGTTTATACTATTAAGTAGCTCTGTTTGTAAGGCTGTATTTTGATTCAAAGGGTGAGCAGTGAAATTACAGCATACGAAGGTATAAGACCTTCATTTCAGCCGTCTACTCCCCACTGCTTAACATAGTCCTCCCCCAAACGGGGGGTTTTGCCAGTAGTTGCCATACTTGGTAGGCGGATTGGTAACCGCAGTCAGGCTTTTAAGAAAGATGCTGCTGCCCATCCCTCGTCGTCCCTTAGTCGCCTTTTACAACACCCACGGGAAAGGAAGGGGTGGTCTATTCTATAACGGGCCCACACGACGCCTAATTATATATATAAAGAAATGTATGTAATATATATATATCCTAATAATGCCGTACCGCCTTCGTGATTCACTCTTCCTGCCAATGGTTGACTGGGGTAGAGAAAGCTAAGTTCGCATTTTATATTTTGTTTTAATCAATAAAGTTACATAAATAAAAATCAATAAATATAATGACATGATAGGTAACTTAGAAATTCTAGACACTAAAAGCTAAGCAAAAAATAGGATATATCATTTTTTACTATACCTATGACATGCGCCCGCGCCGCGCCGCTTCTCAATTGAGATTGGCGTTGTTCGCCGGACGCCCCGAATGCTAAGACACGAATTGATAGAGTAATTTACACATTTAAAAAACAGAGATTCCAAATGTGGACACTTAATTCTGCTACCTATTTTATATTATTCAATCAGTTTCTGCGTGATGCCACAACAAATATAGAACAGACAAATAGACAAAAATTCTAAAAATCATTGTTTTAGCTTCTAGGAATAATTGATATAAAAAGTCGTAATATGAACAATCTTGCTAAGACCCGTTGTAACAATTATTCCTTAATATCTCTCTAACTCTATCGCGTAGTTAGAAAGTTGTAGTAAGATTTTGCGCTATCTCTAAACAATTATTACACTGTATAGTCGTGCGAAAGCTTTTCCTTGTTCAGTGTTCTTTGGAGCGGCCGATTCTAATGCAAGCCACGTTCGGCACGAATTTACAGGCAATTCATTCGATATTGGATTATTAGCGTCGATCTTTTTAAAATTTTCGACTCGGGCTCGCCTTGTGCCCAATCCCGCCTGTCCCCGGCACCCGATCCTACTCAACGAGAAAATCACATAGAATGATAGGATTAGACGCATTTCGAATTTTAATTTCATGCCTCTTTATGATTCCGCTGTATTTTTTTTTGCTTCTCTTTTCACGTACCTTTTTAATATTTTCCGGTAATCAAAGGCTCCTCAGCAATATAATATTTTATGACAGCGTTTGGAAATTCGCGACGCTGCGTATTCATTTGGGTCCGTCCGTGTTTTTTCGTCTAAATCGCTGATCGTTTATGTAATGTAAATTTTTTGTGTATCTGGTCGATATTTTTAATTTCTCCTTACATTTTCGTTATAATATCGCATATGTTATAAAAACTATATCGCAGAGAATTGTATCAAATTATTTGAATAATCAAATGTGTAAATCTTCTTCATTAACTTTTGTTTCATTTTTTATTTAACTTTCTTTATGTTTCTTTCTTTGTTGCAACCGAATGGCTTTGTTACAGTCGTGTTTATTATTGGATCTTGTTATGGGCATATATTGGCATGTATATTTGTTTATGTATTAATAATTGTAGCACTTCAGCTGCCCGCTAACGAAATGCTTTTTTACTGTACTAGGTTGACTGGAAGAGATCTCTGTCAGAGATAAGTCCACCCTTGTTCACAACATTTATAAATAGATTATTTTATATGTAACTTACAAGTACAATAAAGAGTATATAGCAAGTTTACCTGAACAATACATTAATTTACTTGCATATTATGTATCAAGTATGTATTTATAAACTTCTGTTGTGTGCACCAAATCAATCAAATATCTGGGATGAATATGGAATGGTGTACCTGTGTCACTGTATACAAATGACAGGACACAAGTGGAGTACGAAACAATAAGAATAAGATAATAATAATGAGAGATTTCACGCCGGCTGGTGGAAACCTCTGGCGACCAGAAGGCTGGCCTATACTTTGATCAACGCATTTCCATAACTATTCAGCGTGGAAATGCAGCAAGTCTCCTAAGTACCCTACCAACTAGCAGTGATTTTGCAAGAATTTTTTTATCTTTAACTATTTACATATATTCCATTGTAAACGTTTCATTTTTAAATATTTATATGTAAATATATACATTACGTTATCTTCATGAGAAAGTGTTCGCAATTGCACGCATATTAATGGTAGTGGAATTAAAAGATTTCTGATCAACTTACCAATGATATGGACTTCTGCAAAATAACAGTGCAGTAACATAAATATGAAAATCAAGTCAGTTGATTCATCATGGCGAATTCACTGTGTATTGATCACAATGATTTCCACGGAGACCACATGGAGGTCTACTCCCATTGTTGATCTCCTACAAAGGACTAGAATCCCCATTTCTAAAAATGCATTTACCATCCAAAACATAACCTGGACGTTCGAATCGTCCAAAACTCCTGCATAATTATGCATAAAACTTCGTAGGAAAAATGTTCAAATGAAAAAACATTTTTCATCGGATCCCATTAAACGTAGCGTCGTTAAAGAGATCTTAAATTCAGTTCAACTTTTTGATTCTTTTTTATTCTATTACGTACCTCTCCACGATGTATAAGTCACAGAATTATAAAAAGTTCTCTTTAATTATATATTGTTAGCCCTCATTATCTTGTTTCTAATACGATACGTCTCTAATTCTGAGAGAAAAATAATAAAAAGATTACGAAGAGAGAATATTATATAAATTTCAATTATGATAAAAATTTGCCAGGTCATCCCGGCATAGAATGGAACGGAGGGAAGTTAAGACGCTTCATTTGTATTTAGCGTAGCGTGTCATATCAAGAGGTGAAGAGACTCGCTGAAAATCGTAGTGAGTGGCAAGAGCTCCACCGATAAGAGCACAGCTCTTAAATAGGATATATATATATATATATATATATATATATATATATATATATATATATATATATATATATATATATATATATATATATATATCCTATTTAAAATTATTATATATAAGAACTAACCAAGATGGTTTCCAGATTAAACGGCTAGAGGTTTATAGATTAACCTGAATATTGCTAACCGTGTGATCCTGACATAGAATGGACCATTTCTTCCTTTCTCATGTGTGTCGTAAGACTAAGGGAATTTAATGGTCAAGAAAGTCAAAGCACATCAATCTTAAAACATCATCAAAGCCTACCTAAAATTGCTAGCCCGCCTGCCAAGCGTGGACACTACTTCCAAAACCCTGCTTCTTATGGTGGAGACTTATATTCAGCAGTGAACAGTTAACAACTAATATGATGATGATGATGATGATGATAACGGATGATGACATACTATATACCTATAAAGACTGTTTTTTTATGGGTGATAATGGAATGGTAACCTTACCTGCGCTATCGGTATACACCGACGGGGCACATCGTGACTAATTCAACCAGAATTGTTCACGATGGTTTCCAAGGAGAACCACGTGAAGAGACCTTATAGGGCATATTGCTAGCAATGGGGCTGTCAAACTCTATTGCTAACAATCCCTTATAAACAACCCCTTATAAAGAGTGTTAGACCTCATTACTAGTAATCCCTTCCCCCCAGAATGTAAACACTACACACACAATACAAATACCGCACCAATTACCGTAATGCAGATATGAATTGTTGAAAACAATAATTTAACAGAATCTGCATAAATAATTTATCATTCTTCCGTCATAGAATCAATATTGACTTAAACTATCACATGTCTTAAAAAGATATTATGTACAGTCACCAAAAACAAACCATTCTATGTATTATTCTACTACACATAAATTGATATGTCTCAAAATTCAAAATTTACGAAGCCAGACAACAGTGTCGACTGTACTGTTTTGTCCTATCTAAACTGCATCTGCACCTCGGTTCACAATCTCAAAAATCAGAAATAACTGGTCTATGCATTAGTGTATCATTTGGGGGGGAATTCCAAAGTCTGGGAGCTTTTTAAAACAATTCTCAATACGTACTACGCCATTACACAGACAGAAGACACAAAAAAATAATATTGGCAAATTATATTCGTTGTTTTTTTTTTTTATTCAACTTACAATGGATAACAAACCGACGGCCCAACTTATAAGAAATGGTAACCATCTATAGACACGAATAGTACCACGATATTTCCCAATCCCAAACCGCTTATTGCATACTTAAAAAAAAACTAGTAGACGAGTCAAAGTCAGAAAACTCAACTGTTAAATAAGTTTTTGGTATTTTATAGCCACTACATCCACTTTTTAATAACATAGTGGCGAACAAACATACGGCTCACCTGATGGCAACTGATTACCACCGCCCATAGACACCCGCAGCTTCAGAAAAATTGTAGGTGTATTTCCGGCCTTTTAGGTTAGATAGATAGATAGTTTATTTGCATTACTTACAGCACACAAATTATAACATATATATATACATATAGATATACATAAAAAGCGAGATAACATAAATGATTTAAAAAAATACATAAAGCTAAAAATATTTTTCGTTTGTGCGTGTGCCATAACAATACAAAATGGTCACAACTCAGTTTATTGCTTCGCCCTCAAAAGAGCAAAACACTGATATTCTGTTTAGGAAGGAATATTCTTTTATTTTTATTTTTACTCTATACCAACTGTTGCCTGTCTGCCTTAATTCAAATCATTTACTGATACAATAAGAATTAACTGAACTAAAAAGTTGTTGTATCGGCCATGCCATTTTCATCTATTAAAAACAAACTTCCTCAAGGCACGCTATCAAATGCAAAACGATTATTAGTAGCTCCAAAGATTTGAACATTCAAACAAACTTCTCTTTTTCTATTATATGTATTATATACAAATTAGAAAACTCCAAATACTTTACATTTCAACTGTACACAAGATTTGTGATATTTTATTTATCATTCTCTCTTATAGATAATGGTATGTTCCACGTTGTTATTATTATTTCAATTTATTATTAAAACAGACATTTAGATAAAATGAAATTTTCATATGTGTGTTCAACTTTTACCATCTTCATTTGGTCAAGTAATTGCGCATTTATTGACGACACTAAATCTGTGAAGAAAATAAAAGAAGAAAAGGTGCCGTTAAAGAAATTACTTCACAACGAATTATCCAATTTGAACGATGATAGAAAAGAAATAGAATGGCACGTAGCATTAGCAAATGTATTAATATATTCGATACAATCTATATTATACAATAAAAAAGAAATTACAGGAAAAATAGCAGAGAATCCCGACAATGACTATCTCATAAAATTGATTAGTCGAAGTTTGTTATTTTTCAAGAACACTATCTATGATAGATTGACAAATCAAGACAATAGAAAGACAAATGAGATAGCTCAAACGAATGAAGACTTCGAAAATACTTACAATCGAATAGATATTGAAGCATCGACTAAAGATGAAATATATTCGAATGATATCGTAGAAGTACTCGAGCCAAATTATAATGTAGAGTGTATTAACTGCAATAGTACAGTGAGTGAAGATGATAATGATTGCCCAAAAGGTTTTAAAAGTAATAAAGAAGGAAATTGCATATTAAAAGTTTCTGAACCCTCAACATTAGCTATTCCTAATCAGTGTCCATATGGTTATAAAAGTGACAAAAATGGACATTGCAGAAAAATCTTCAAAAGAAACTAAATAGAATAAATTCAAATTTATTTCGCGAATCAAACGTTAATTATAACATTTATTACATTTGAAAATATCAATGTTAACATATTCAATAACTAAAGTCTAAATAATACTTAACTTTTTTTTTTATAATTTAAAATTCTGAAAATACACCAAAAAAACTCAACGTTTTTACGAACTTCTTAAGATGGTAATATTTATAGGTAGCTAAATAACTTACTGTTTTTATAAAGAAGTATTATGTAAAGAGCATTCTTAATTCTATTTACTTCTAAATTCATAAAGACAAAACCAAAAAACTATAATACGTACAACGTAATATGTGACCTGTAGAGTATAAAATGGTAACGGTACAACGATTGGTAATCCTTGCAGTAAAAATTTATATCAAAATTACCAAAATAAAAAACAGAACAACATTCTTAAAAAGATACAAACTAACGACAGATTTCCTTTTCTTTTTTACCTGACTCAAAATGAAGGAAGTTCTAAAATCAGTTATTTTTTTTAATGTTTGTTACCTCATAACTTCGTCAGTTGTAAACCGATTTGTAAAATTCTATATATATATATATATATATATATATAAGGACATACTTATAGATCCCTTATAAATTTTATCTAAATCTATTTAGTAGTTTAATTTTTAATTTAAATTAAAATAACTGGTTTTATCATATTTGAAGTGTTTTTTTTTTGTGAAACAATTTAATTATTAAATTCAGAGTAATAAAAATGAAAAAAAAAGAACGAGTACAAACGTATCAAAGATTATAAATACTCCTGATAAGCTAGACCAGTTGTACAAACAGTATGGAACCGCCATGGGCATGGATGGTGACCTTGATACATTTACAGGTACTTGAATGTTCCCCGATTAACTTAGTTTACATCAAATTGCCTCATATTTTTACGTCTTTACGTCGACTTCACGTCATGAGCCAATATTAGCTTTGACTGTTATCGTTATCAGAGAGATATTACGAGTACGTACAGTGACATATAAAAGGCATTATATATTATTCTATCAGACAATATTATTAGTAAGTTTATACGTCTAATTATTATTGGTATATAATGTCTAATTCGCTTATAAATTAAAATCATATTATCTTTCAAATTTCGCTTTCAATATCCATATTACCCATGTCTATTATATATCACTATATGAAACACGTAGCTTCAGCCGTGGTGGTATAACCTAACCTGCTAAGGCTAGGTTATACCACCATAATAATCATATAATCATCTTGCATTTGATAGCTGAGGCTACTCAGCTATCAAATGCAAAATGTTTATTTCACATAGCTCTAAAAATTTAAGCATTCAAATAAACTATGCCATTTACATTATGTATATAATGTAAATAGCACAATAATAATATATAATATATAATAATAATACCTAATATCAGTATTAAAATAAAAACGAAAAATTAATAACAAATTGGAAATTATAAATTCTCATAATTTTCTCATGTTGGTTTCTATCTCCCTTACGATCTATATCGAGAGAACCAAAGACTAAAGTGTCTCTATCATAATATACTTCATTCACATGTATACCTCATATCTTGCATACACGCCACACTTTATTCTAACTCAGCAGGAAAAATACTGAAAACTTTATCTCTCAACTGTACATATAAACAAGGTGTTTCAACTACGTTATCTTCTGAATTTCTTGCAGTTAGTGCCATTGTCTTGTTTTTATTGTTATTTTACAACAAATAATTTACTTATTTTTTAAAAAAAAAATGAAATTTATATATTTATTTTGTGCTTTTCTTGTCTTTGTGAGCGGGATCAGTGGCAAATATATTAGAGAAACAAGGGAATTAAAGAAAATCGAAGAAAACAGTGTGTTTTTAAGAAAACTGCTATATACTGTAGAAACAAATCAACAAAACGACACAAGATCGTGGAACGACATACTCGCTGACATATTAGTGGATTCAATAAATGCAGTACTATATAAGAATGATAAAACTGCTGAAAGAATAACGGACACTTCTGGGAAATGGTATTTCACTACATGGATTAGCAAGAGTTTGTTGTTATTTAAGAATATTATTAACAACAGACCGATTACGAATGACGGTATAGCAAAAAACAATGAAGTTGAAGATTTTGGAGAAATTCTTAATGAAAGTGATTCCGACGCAGTAACAGATGATAATGTTGATATAAATAACGATGTAGAAGTCTTCGAACCAAGATATCACGGTAAAAGGTGTGCTGGCTGCAAAGAAACGAGTGATGGTAATAATGATTGTCCAGAAGGATCAGTGAGGGATAAAGAGGATAATTGTGTTTTGAAAACTGTTGAACCGTTAATATCAGCTGTACCCAGTCAATGTCCAATTGGTTACAGACTAGACAGGTTAGGTTTTTGTAGATTTATATTTAGAAGGAACGCGTGAAACTAAGGAAATGTTGATTTGGGAATCCAAGTTTACACACTTCTTGCACTTCTCTTTGTAAGTGAATAGAATAGATACATTAAAAGAAGAAGAGTTACATTAGTTGGTTGCAAAAGGAGTATTTTGTGAGAATTTAAATATTGTTTTTATTATTAAAAACATAAAATGCTCAATAAAAGTAGTTATTCATTGATGGCTTTAAATTTTTAAATTTAACCCACTTGTCTCTTTTGACTATATATTCCTTTATATTTTTTACTGAACTTTGCAAATATGTTTCACCGATTGAGTTTTAATTTATAAGTTGACTGCTTTTAAAAAGCAAAATAGATTTTTTTTTAAAACCTTTTTTTTTCTAAAACTAGTAGTTTTTTGCGAGAATATTTGAAAAAAAAAAGCAAGCAGTTTTATATGAATATGAATTTTATATTATATATGAATAATATAATAATGGTATAAATTGTAAACGTATATTTATTTATTCATAAACTAGTTGTATCCCGCAGGTTTGTCTGGGTGAATAATATAATACATAAAATATTCTATGTGCTATATTATATACCTACCCGAGTACCAAATTTTATTTAAATCAATTTAGTAATTTCTGCGTAATATAGTAACAATGTTTGTTCATCCATCCATCCATCTGTCTTTAGAAACTTTCGCATCTACAATATTATTAATACTTATAAAATATTAGGATTTTTACTATTAACTCCTATTCTATTACGATCGAGGATGAATTTTTTTTATACAACTTAGAATGGCAAACAAACTGACGGCCCACCTAATCGAAAGTGGTAACTGTCGCCTATAGACATGAGCAGTACCATTACAGAGTAATAATTTAATAATTTAAATCAATATTTTTTATTACACAGTGAAATTTTATTATACAACTAGCGATCCGACCCAGTTTCGTACGAGTGAACAGAATTTTCGAAAATCAATACATATTATATGTGATTCTTTAGATTGATATAAGTTCTTTTAAATCATTGTGATGTAAAGTATACCACAGCGTGTACTTGTATTAAACATTACTTTTGATATATTATCAAAGGTCGTCCCTCTTTAACTATCTCGTACGAAATCCACCACAGGAGTGGTCATTATAGTGTCTGGAGGGTGACATAATTCTTGTGTGCTCCAGACAAAATGCTCGTCTAAACAAGATAATATCAACCACAGATACCCGTATCGTAATAAATAGAAAGATATTTATCTAGAATAGATATAATATTTTCTTTTGAAGTTGGCATATTTTAAAAATAGTCATGGTATAAATATGATTTTTTATATTATGTATTTTTTTTTTACCTAAATCATTGGAGTGATTGAATATCAATTTTTGATCACCATGCAAAATTGTAACAGAAAAATATATAATTCACATTTGTGACTTACAAAAAAATCGATTTTAATTTTGACAAAACTAGTTATATTAATTTAAAAATTACTAATTCCATTTTGATAAAATTTATAACAGTATCATTTCAGATAAAAAATAATGTTCGAAATCGATTTAGAAGTAACAGAGTTATGAGCTAACAATTTTAAAAATAAAAAAATACAAACGTATTGAAAACCTTCTTTTTTATGAAGTCAATTGATAACAGACACACATGAGAAGTATCATAGACGACACAGTATATTCTGTTATGTCCAGAGTCGTTTTACCAGAGGGAGACTTTGTACAAAAGTCGATTGTTTGGATACCTCTGTCCCATTCGTGTTTCAACCGTGAAGCAGTTGTGTTTGCATGGCTGTGTTTCGGTTTGAATGGTGGGATATGGCGTGAATTTACAGGGTACAGAGGAATAACACCTGAGTCCTCAGGAATGACAACGCATGGGGGGTATCATGGGCGTAAGAGTATACTCTGTTAAGTCCATGGTACTGCTCATGTCTATAGGCGACGGTTACTACTTTCCATCAGGTGGGCCGTCAGCTTATTTGCCATTCTAAGTTGTATAAAAAAAAAAGTCGTGTTCCTATCTACAAGTATAGGTGACGGTTACCACTTTCCATCAGGTGGGTCGTTAACCTATTTGCCATTCTAAGTAATAATAATAATAATAATAAAATTATATAATAAGAAAGTGTTTTAAAACTTAAAATGTTATAATTATGTATCTTTTCACATTTGAGCCAAGAAACACGTCTGAGTAACATCCGGAGTGGTCCATTCGCTTCTTACGAGTTTTATAAATAAATATTCAATCAACGCAGACTGTATATCAGTAAGTCGAGGCTTAGAGGTACCTAGAGGAAGTAATTCCGATCAGAGATTCGACAAACAAGTCTTTTACAGCGGACAGACAATCGACCGAGTCAATTTCACGGCTTTCCGACCACCAAAAGAAAGAACGGATATGAAGGTACCTGGGATCAAAGGTCTATGGAAACACGATCGCCACAAATTGACTACCTTCTGCTGCGAAATATTGAATTGAATCTCTAAATAAGATTAAAGTAAAGGCTTTATATATATACTATATATATATATACATATTTGTTTGTGTGATCTGTGTTCTGGCCCGTAAAAACGGTATGGAATTTTTCCTTTTGTATTCTCTCTTTGTATCTCCTTATGTATTTAAAAATTACAGAATTTTCGTCGTGCCTCCGATCAAACTGTTTATAATTACTCCTCTCTATCCTAAGGGTGCCTGAAATAGATCGCTTTTAGCGATAAGGCCGCCCATTGTTTTCTCACTGTGATCATTTCGTGAAATTGTTTGTATCTATAATAAGTGTACTACTGTAATCTTTTTTAAAAAATAATAATGAAATCTATGTATTGGCAAAAAGTTTTATTATATATACTTTTAAATTAATTCTTCGTGAAGTTTGGTGTTTATCTTTAATTTCTTACAAAACTGAAAGCGCATAGTTTAAAAAATACTGACTTTAAAAAATAAGTTAAAAGGAATTACAGTTATTATAGAAAGTATGACATTATATATATATGAATGAATGGAGATGTCGGTAGGGGCCGCCCTAGACGGACGTATGTCGACCAAATAGGCTTCAAACAAATATAATAATATTTGTTTGAATCGAAGCATTTGGCGTTCCATTGTTTTGCCTACCCTAATGCCAAGACAGGCGTGACAGATATGTATGTATGTATGTATGTATGTATATATATATATTAAAAATTATTCACCATTCATATCATGCTCATAAAAGAGTATACTGTATCGCCCTTGATACTCTTCCAGCGTTTCTTTAATATGTCTATACGCAAAATTTTAAAATCAACTATCTACTTTGATATTACTTTTAGCAAAATTAAGTAACACTTTTTGCCATGTAAATTCCTTAAGAGTGTAGGCAATTACTAAGAACAGGTTTTTTTTAATTCTCTCAAAAAAAAAAAAGACCAGGTAGTATACGAGCAGAACCGGGGAACACACCTATAAGTTACATATGTATTTGCACTTCCGTAACTTTAACAGGTGGCGAATAATCCAAACTCGTCAAGTTTAATACTTACCACAAAATATAAGATAGTTACAAGTTTGCGCACGTAATTCCTGACTCAGCTCGACATGAATACTTCACTTTGGTACTTCTGTATTTCGCCATCTTGTTTTATATTTTGTAACATAAATTACATATATTACTATCTCTATCCTGTGGTTTTTTTTACAACACAGGGGCAAACGGGCAAACGGCTCACCTGATGGTAAGTGACTACCGCCGCCCATGATCGCCCACAACACCAACGGCATTGCAGGTGTGCTGCCGGCCTTTTAAAAAGAAATATACTCTTGAAGGTTATGTTGTCGTATCGGTTCGGAAATACTGCTGCTGGAAGTTGATTCTAAAGAGTGGTTGTGCGTGGAAGAAAGTGCCTTGAAAAACGCACAGTGGAAGACCGCCATTTGACCAAATATTTGGCATGAAATTTTAATTTATGGCGGTTTCGCCTGTGGTCGCATTGTGATGTTAAAAAGCCTATGACCTTCCTCAAAAATGAGCTATGAAATACTTAAAAACATTCTAACTCCAACTAGTAGTTCCAGTGATTTAGCACGTTTAAACAGACAAACTCTTCCACTTTATCCTTTCTAATATTATAAATGTGAAAGTGAGTTTGTTTGTTAACTTATAACGCCTTGACAGCTTAACGAATCACTAGAAAATTTGGTATACACGAACTATATGGTATGGGAAAAGTCTAGTATAGTCTTAGGTTATATACATAGATTGTCTCCATAGAGATGCTTCAAGAAAAACGGGTCAACTTTTTCATACAAGTATGCGTGATAAATAGTTATGAGTGATTCCTTTATAACTTTTATATTTATTTTGTCTTAAAATTTCTGCATCCTTTTAATGCGTAAACACTCGTTTTATTTATTGAATGATATGCCAATGTACATTTTATGCTTAAGTATATAGAACACTGATAAAAACGAGTCAGCTAATTTGACAATTAGCTCACAAAATGTTGACCCGTTTTTTGAGGCTCGATACTGGCTTGAAGAGAGGAATATGGCAGTAAATTTACAAGGTACAAAGGAATAACACCAGACGCCTCAGGTATGGCAACACATGGGGTGTATCATGGACAAAACAGTATGTTCTGTTATGTACATGATACTGTTCATGTCTATAGGCGACGATTACCACTTTCCATTAGGTGGGCCGTCAGCCTGTTTGCCATTCTAAGTTTCATAAAAAATACATATCCCGGTCACGCGGCCGAGACGTTACAATTATGTACAACAATTACAAATACATAACCTCTATGTAATATACTTATATAACTCAAAATTATAGAAGTAAGTCGGTGTGTGAAGTTTTGATAATTTCGCCCTTAGCGACCGGAGTCGAGCTGTACGTGAGACAACTTATAATTACCTTGCATCCCGAAGTATTAAAGTTGTCAACTTTGGGTAATACGCCACCTGCCTTAACTTTGGAAACTGTAGAATATATAACAAGATTGATAACAAATCTATATTATATTTATTATACAATTTGAAACTTGAAACGGAAAATAAAATGATGGCCGACTGAATTTAAATCGTAATAAGTAATCGTCGAGTATACAGGGAGAAATCAGAAGTAAATTTTGTTAAACATTAAAACACCGACTTTGATTATGCAAAAACTAGATGTTTTTATTTAAAAATTAAACTATTGGACCGATTTTGATGAAATCTTTACGGGACTAATCAAA